AATTTAATTCTTTATTAAAAAAATCTCGGTTTAGTTCCAAAAAATCACGTCGCCAACGTTGGCGCTACTTTCCAAACCAAGAGAAAGATTTACTTGGGATAAGTATATGACATTATTAGTTCAAGAATAAACAAGAACTTGAAACAAGAAGTAAATTTTGAAGAAAATGATTTTCTTGAGTCAAGATGACTTTTTTTCTGTGTAGATTCCTTGGACAATTAGCTTTCATGAGCCCTAACATGAGTGAAATTCGTCAATAAGTTTAGAAATGGTAGATTCTCAAAATTATCAAAATAGTGAAAATCACGTTTTCGGTGACTTCATTGTTGTATAACTTTTGATTGAAAAGAGATTGCTAATTTTTGATTAATTCATGTGAAAGCTCATAGAATCGCTTTCAATTAGACGTTTATAACATTGACATTTTGACTATTTTTAGTTATTTTTTCAAATTTAAGAGTGCAATTGAACCATTTTTAGGCAATGTGTAGTACAACCGACCTATGTACGTCATTTCATCAAGAATTTCATTTAGTGAAATCTACCTTCCATTTCGGGTGTGGCCGAATCGCGTTTTTTTTTTGTAGAGCGTTCTATTCTCTACAAAAATACGTGATAGAATTTTCTTCATAATCCACGACGGGCTAGCAAGAAAAATCAGAAGAAAAAATAATTTTTCTCATGTTATTCTTATGGGAATTAAAAAAATGCGATTCGGACAATCTTAATATTAATATTAAGGGTCATCTTTTCACAGTAATTTTTTTACACCCAAAAGAAATGATTATTTTGCTTTAAGAATTTCTTGTCTTGATTTAGATTTTCTTGGCTTAAGAGCTATATTATCTTCAATCGATACATTTAAGTTTTTTAATCAAAATAACATTATAGTTTAAAAAACTTAAAATAATTTATCAAAGTATATTTCAAAAACTAAATAGTCTTTAATTGTTATACCAAATAAAAATTATTTCTTGGAAATAAGTAAATTAATTAATGACTAAAAAAAAAGCCATTCTTAACACAAGTCGGTAACATCTTGAATCAATGTTATCGCCTATCTCGAATCGAGAGACAAAAATTCTTGAAAGAAATATTTCTATATCTAGTTTCAAGAGTTCAAGTTTTGAAGAAAAAAAGTTTCTTGAATCAAGATTGTTTTTCTATCAGTGTATACAATCCTCGTTATATTTTTTTTCTATTCATGATGAAATGCGTCTACTTCCATTTCGGCTGCCGAATGGTCTTTTTTACCTTCATTTTATCATATCTATCTATATTTATTCATCAAAATTAATTATTGTTTTTACTCCTCAACCTAACTCTAATGTAAAATTTTATATTGAGGATTGTATCCTGGTGAAATACAAATGAATATTATTATTATATTCAAGTGACAAGTCTTGGTTTACTTCTCTTGAACCAAGGTCTAGCCAATGTCTATATAACAAGTCTTGGTTTGCCAATCTTGAACCAAGACCCAGCCTATATTCAAGTGACAAGTCTTGGTTTGCAACTCCTAGATCAAGATTTAGCCAGTGTCTATGTTATAAATCTTGGTTTGCCAGTGTTGAATCAAGACCCAGCCAATATCCAATTAACAAGTCTTGGTTGATCAGTCTTGATCCAAGATCTAGCCAATATTCAACTGACAAGTCTTAGTTTGCTACTCTTAGACCAAGATCTAGCCAATATCTTTATAACGAGTCTTGCTTGCCAGACTTGGGACAAGAGCCAGCCACTATTGACATTTTTAAAACTGTAAATTTGACAGTTTTTCTATCATTTTATTGTTGTTTTTTTCTGTATAAATACATATATTATGTAGTATATACCTTAAAAGAAATTTCAAATCCGTTTCTGCTTCAGCTATAGCGTCTATGTATAAATTATATTTTATAGCATTATGAAAAGAACTATTTTATTGGTCAAGTCATAATTAATCACAACTTACTCATTGGCTTTAACTGATATATTTATACATACGTTTAAAATTTACAAATTCATAATATTTTTATTCACATATGCAGATTCAAAACTTTCCCCAATAATGTGGCCAGCTCAATGATTACCCAAGCCTGGGACAAGACTGGGTCGCTATAGAATGACCAAGGCAAAAGGACCGAGCCTTGGGCCAAGACTGGACAACCATGCCTTGGCCGGCCCAATGATTACCCGAGCTTGGGCCAGAACTGGGTCCCCTCAGCCACGACCATTCACTAGTGACCTCGACTTGGGCCAGGACTGGGCAACTTAGCCTTAGCTGACTCAATGATTACCCGAGCGTTAGCCTGGACATAGACGTTGAATGGCAACCCAGACTTGAGCCAGAATTAGGGTAACCTAGTCTTGACTATTCAGTGGAAAATCCAAATTTAATTAATCATTAAGTAATAGAATTCTCAACAGTAGATATTTATTGTTTAATGAATATTTGTGAGCAAATGCTTGAATTGAAAATTTATTATTTAACAAAAACAATTACATACCTTCAAGATTGATACGGACTTAATTAAATTAAAATATTATAATTTACAGTGGAATTTTTGGTATTGATAAAATTATCAATACCAAATTTTAAGCATTAATTTATAACAAATTATTAAAAGTATTCAGAACGATGTACTAATTCTAAAGTAATATAAGGACTTAACTTTTGTATTTTTTTAAATCAATAAACATTTGTAAAAAATCGTTGATTTTCATTGCAACACAATATTAAATAACATAAATTATAAAAATAATAAACCGCACGGAGAAAAAAGTATTGCTACTTTCACGATACAGTATAGTGATGATCACGATGCTCGTATGACTATACTTTAGATGTGCATATGCCCGATCCAGTAGATCGTGATTATCACGATCCACATGGATTCGGATATCGAGTGTCTATATTGCTATAGTTTATAGATGATTAAGTTGTCTTTAATTGAATGTTAATTATATTTTATTGCAGATTATTGTTTTTTTAGTTTTTTGGTATATTATTGTTATTAACATAAATAAATATTTCTATTGTAGCTTGATTGGTTTAAAATTTTTGTGTAGATTATGACAGTCAAGAATTGGGTTAGGTTTAAAAATTTTTAAATAATGACTTACAGCAGTTGGACTTTATCTTATGTAACTTTTTTATTTATTTTTACGAATATTATTATCCTAGAAATTTATATTATCGAAATATTCATTTAAAAGAGGCAAATATTTTTGTCAGAAGAAAAAAATTCTTTAATGGAATTTTTACTCCTTTATTACTGAACGTACGCCATACAATTATATTTTTATTGTATAAAATAGTATGGGATCAAATCATTTATGCTAAAAAAGACTTTTATGGAAACAAGAATCTTATTTATTTAATACAAGATATGTTGTACATTGTTTCTTTTTATCAATGCAGTAAAATTATATACAATAACCACGGACACAACATTAACACAGTTCCTATAGGAAGATTTATTTCTTTACTACCCTTCAAAAATCGACACAAGTTTTTCAAGATTCCACTCAAGTAATTTATCAACAACCCAATCATCCATATCGCTGTTAATATTAATTAACTAATTTATGTAATTATCACTATTTAATCACTAAAATTGTAAACAAATCTTCTAGTAAGAGTTTCAGACTTGGTTATGCATGGCGGCGCTGAAGGCGTCGTGGATCGCGATAATCACGATCCGTTTCGCCGTAGTAAGGAAACGTTTCTTTATGATCGCAATACGTTTTGACATATTCACTATATCATGAATATTTAATATAAGAATCCGAAGTATAGAGTATATCAGGTTATAATATCGTGAAAATGACGATACTGTTTTGAGCTAATCCCAATACTACGTTCACGATCCACTGGATCACTATAATAGCAATACTTTTTCCTTTATGCATCACAATCACCATATAGATTTAGCTTATGAGAATGATGAGATATAGATCAACTTATAGATCGTACGGCATAGGGGTTAGTTATCGGTCTAGCAAGCGCACAGCTCGGGTTCGAATCTTGGTTAGGACAAATGCAATCTTCACTTTATTTCTATAATTAATTAAATTTAGGTCTAAATAAAGAGTCAAATGGTTTAAACGTGCGTTAGCTCTGCATAAAAAGTAGAATAAAAAAAATTAGGATGACGGTTGACCCTAAAGGCCATCCTTGCAATTTCCCGCTCATTTTGTACATAAGCGCTCAAAACTACACATTACGTTTTTGAGCTCTTCGAGCTCAAAAATATTATTTTTGTGTCAATTTGAGCTCTTCGAGCTCAAAACTCTAATAGCAGTTTAATAAAACACAATTTTTTGAATTTTCAAACGGCAATAACTTTTGAATGAATCAACCGATTTTCACAAGGTTGGCGGCAATCGACGCAGTTTTTAAAGCTCCATGAAAAATTTTCAAGTTTGAATCGATCGAGCCATGAATTTCGAAGTAATTCCGAAAAACCACTTTTCGGTTTTCTTTCGACAACGATAACTCACGAACGAGTTATTTGGTGAGACTTTCGTCTGCCTCCTTTCGAACAGGCCGTTTCCTGGGCTTAAAAAAGCTATACACGCACGTAAAATAAAACCCAAATCTTACCAAACAAAAGCACCGTCAACTCGCCGGGCAAGGAAAAACCCTGCCCTCCAGCTTTTACGCTATCACTGGACAGAATGTGAATGGAGTTGTATTTAATTTAATGTCAATCTGTCCTCGTAATTGTTCACTGTATCAAACCTCCCCTATACAACTCCATTCAACGACTACGTTGGCCTGGCCGGTAATATAATGACAATCCGACCAGTTGCCCAGCGGGGCCCATGCAGGGAGGTGTAGCCGTAAGGCCTATTGAGCTATAATATTTAGTTATCCCTGTATCTGTCTCGTTCGTTTGTTACATGTCTCTTCTGTGATCCCCGTAATCTTTGAGTCTACCTGCGTTGCCAAATGTTTTGACAACGTCACGAGGCCTTACTCATGTAACTCACGAACGAATCAACTGATTTTGACTAGGCTTGCGGTGATCGACGTAGTTTTTTGATCTTAAAAGCTGATCAGATTTTGGAATTAATCGGTAAAGCCATTTAAAAGTAATTCCAAAAAAACGTCATTTCAAACAATATTTTTTTGTAGTTTTTTTGAGATTTCTCAAAATCTACTGGTTCGAATCGGTCCAAATATTATTCAAAATCTAAGTTTAGTCAAGCTCTTTCGAATGGCACCAACTGCGATTAAATCGGTCAAACCGTTCAAAAGTTATAAGAGGGTCACATACATACATACACACACACACATACAGACATACGGACATCATCGTAAAAACAATCAGGAAAGCTTCCTAGGACCTCGAAACGTCAAGATTTGATGAGAACTCGATTTTCGAAAAACGGGGTAAAACCAATAACTTCCCGATTTTTGAAAATTTTCAATTTTCTTAGCGGAAAGTTAAAAAAAATAGCTGTTTTATGCTTTTGAGCTCTTCGAGCTCAAAAGTCGTATCAAAGTTCGATGAAACACAATTTTTTAAATTTACGAACTATTATAACTTCCGAATGAATCAACCGATTTTCACGCGGTTGGTGGCGATCGATAAAGTTTTTTAAGCTCTATAAAAAATTAAAAACAAAAAAATTGATCTGATAAAAAATTTCGAAGTTATTACAAAAAAATACTTTTTTCGATTTTTTTCGACAACGATATCTCACGAACGCATCAACCAATTCTGACGTGTTTGGTGGCGATCGATGGGAGTTTTCAAGGTTAAGAGCTGAGTAGTTTTTGAGACCGATCGGTTAAGCCAATTCGGAAATATTTAAAAAAAATGAAAAAAAAAACAACTTTTTATTCACTTTTTTTGCATTTTCTCGAAATCTACCGGTCTGAATTGGTTCCAACTCTAAGGAAATCTAAGTTTGGCGAAGCCCTTTCGAATGACACCAACCGCGATGAAATCGGTCAAGTCGTTCAAAAGTTACAAGAGGTTTACATGCTGTAACTCACTGGGAGTGTCCGGAACCTGTATCGTAGTTTCGGACGATGCAGGCCACGGCCGATGTGAGCTTGCTCTGCCGAGGTGTAAGTTGCAGTAGTGGATCAGGAGCCAGTCACTTCAGGCCTTGATCAGGAAGTACGCAGTGAGTGTTAGAGATCGGAATCTTCACCGCTCCGAGCGAGTCTAGTCCGTCCGTCTATTCCGGGACTGGCTAAGTGTCGGCTAGGCCTCAGGGAACTGGAGTAGGAGTACTATCTCCGAGGGTACACCCGTTCCTAGTTATGACAACCCGCTCCTCTCCCTACGATGCGCTGGTGAATCAAAAAGTATGAGTAATTTACAGGAAACAAACAAGAATAGAAACGGGCTTCATTCCGAACAAGCAGCGATTGAAGCAAGCGCTGAAATGAAGAGAACGCAAGCGTTGGAGCTCCTTGAAAAGCTGACCATTGAGCTACAAGAGTTTGTCCAAACTAAGGTCAATATCCACAAGGAGATAAAGACCAAGACAACCGGTGTAGTCAATGCTCTTGGAAGATTCAAGAAACTGGACGAGGAATGGCAGTCATCACGACGCCGCATTGAAACTGAAGTTAAGACGGAAGAAGCAATGGACACTGGAGCCGACGGTGACGGTGAATCTGCTGCTGAGGACCAGGGTGAAACTGACACAAGGTCTGGAAAGAGAAAGGACCGAGATTCGCCAGAGCCAACCGACAAAGTCACAAAGAAGAAGGACCTGAAAAAAAGCCCTCCCCAACAACTGGCAGGGCAGGACGACGAACCCAAGAAGACGATTGACTGGGAAAAAGTACAGTCTAAGAAGGAGAAAAGGAGGCTAGCTAGAGAGCAACTCTCAAAGCAGCCGCCGAAGGAGCCCAGGCCAGAGCCTAAGCGGAAAAAACCACGCAAATGGATCAGACCCGACGCACTGATCATCCGCCCGGCCGAGAAAACAAAGTATGCCGAGATTCTGCGTCGCATAAAGCAGGACGTCCCAGATGAGCAGGTTCGATCAACGGTGGATAAGATCAACAAGACCAGAAGTGGGGACTTGTTGATTACGATTTCGAGGAAGAGCACTGACAAAGGCCAGGGTCTGCAAAAAACGATCGCGGACATCCTTAAGGAGGAGACCAAAGTGATTTGCAAAGGGCCACAGGAGACCATCGAGATCCGAGATGGCGATGACGACACGACGAAAGAGCATATTCAGACCGCTCGAAAGAGGGAAGCTGGAGAAAGTTGTGAAATCCCACTAGAGGCAATCAAGATC